CACCATCTGCGAGGGAATTACTACACCACGTCAGGTCCCTCATAACACCATCTGAGGGAACTACTACACCACGTGAGTTCCTCCTAACACCATCTGGGAGGGAGTTACTACACTACGTGTTTGCTGTTCAACACCTACATTAATCTGTATGTTCACTGTATGTTCCTTTACCTTTCTCTAATGAAGGCTTTTGTTAAACCACCAATGTATGTAATAAGTCATTTATGTCCAATGTATATTTTCAGCCTTCGGGCTGCAGAATTTTTTCAATAAACCGTCAATTATTATTATTATTATTATTATTATTATTATTATTATTATTATTAGAAGCACACACAAACTCCAGTATGGCGTCATCTCAGAGACTTCGACAATAATGGTTCCGTCAAGGCATCAACACTCTAGTTTTAAGTTACAGTGTCGTAGCCTTGTTAGGTTACGTTAGGTAGTAGTTAGGTAAGGTAGTAGTTAAGTTAGGTTAGATACAGTGAAGTACAATAACGCGTCGCCTACAGGTATATGAAGTTGACGCATGGTAATCACTGTACAATACCTGTCTTGTAAGAGAAGCTGTGCACCTCTAAATAATCAATCTCCTATGAATTGCATTATTTATAAACACTATGTCTATAATTTATCTTTTATATTTATCATTATGTTTTTATTATTATTATTATTAGAATTATTGTTTATGTTGTCGTTGTTGTTATTGTTATTATCATCACTATCGTTAATCATTATTTCTATCAATAATTATTATCATTGTGATAATATACTAAATACCATTACACACACACACACACACACACACACACACACACACCAGTTCAGCTGACAACACCTGAGTCACACATTGTATCTACACAGGGCGAGATAATGTTGTCTCACACCTTGTTGCTACCCGGCGGTGGTGGAGAGTGTGAAGGAAGGGGGAATGAGGCGAGTGTAAGGGAAGGGGGAATGAGGGGAGTGTAAGGGAAGGGGTGAATGAGGGGAAGTGTAAGGGAAGGGGGAATGAGGGGAGTGTAAGGGAAGGGGATCGAGTGCAAGGGAAAGAGGAGGGAAGGATAAAGAGGAATTGAAGGGAAAGAAAGAGTGGAAAAGTGGATATAGGACCTTGGGGAGGAAGATGAGGGGGAGGGGTCAGGTGTGTGTGTGTGTATGTGTGTTTAATAATAATAATAATAATAATAATAATAATAATAATAATAATAATAATAATAATAATAATAATTAACGGTTTATTGAAAAAGTTTGCAGCCCGAAGGCTGAAAATACACATTGGAGATAAATGACTTATTACAAACATTGTTGGTTTAATAAAAGCCTTCATTAGAGAAAGGTGAAGGAACATACAGTGAACATACAGATTAATGTTTACACAAGTAGATCATGTGAGCTGAGGTGTTGAACAGCAGACACGTAGTGTAGTAACTCCCTCACTGTGTGTGTGTGTGTGTGTGTGTGTGTGTGTGTAACGTGTCACCACTCTGGTCGAACTCGCTAAATCCACGAGATAACGAAGCACTATGGTTGAACTCGCTATCATTTTACGTCTTGTAGAATCAGTCTCAGTAAATGGATGTTGTAGTAAATTACTGTCTGACCAAGAAGGCTTCATAAACTGTTACCTTGAGGAAGTATACGGTAATCTCTGTCTGCCTGTCTGTCTGTCTGTCTGTCTGTCTGTCTCTGGTGACTTGAAGACTTTATATGGAAATGTGACCCGTTAGTTTGAAGCCTCATTGGTCTCGGGTCGATGGGTCAACTGTACTTATCCATTCTAGTCCAAGGTTAATTATCTTAATTAGCGTTACCAAATTAATCTATCCCAACTTACCCTATTGTAAACTAATCAAAGGTAGATTAACCCTAACCTAACTTATTCTATCGTGATCTAGACTTAATCCTAACCCAATCTTATCCTAACCTATTTTAACTCAACATTAACCCATCCTACCCAAACCATAACCTATTCAACCCTATCCATAACCTATCCAAAAGTAACCTTAACCTACTCTAACCATAACCTAACCTAACCTAACCTAACCTGTTACCTCACACTCATTAACACACCTGTACCCTCACACTCATTAACACACCTGTACCCTCACACTCATTAACACACCTGTACCCTCACACTCATTAACACACCTGTACCCCTCACACTCATTAACACACCTGTACCCTCACACTCATTAACACACCTGTACCCTCACACTCATTAACACACCTGTACCCTCACACTCATTAACACACCTGTACCCTCACACTCATTAACGCACCTGTACCCTCACACATCATTAACACACCTGTACCCTCACACTCATTAACACACTTGTACCCTCACACTCATTAACGCACCTGGTAAACTTTGCTACAGGAAGTGTTTTTTTTCTTTTGTCAGATAAGATAGAGAACAAGTAGGTCATTTGTGTGTGAGATAATACGTCTCTCTCTCTCTCTCTCTCTCACTCTCTCTCACTCTCTCTCACTCTCACTTTGACTTCTATTTTCTTGCTTTCTCTTTTATTTTTTCTGTCTGTCTGTCTGTCTGTCTGTTTATCTCTCTCAGACCTTACCTCAGTAAATAATTTCAGAGTCGGGAAGGAATTCTACTAGTGACCTGACTTTTACGTAACGCAGAAAATGTTGTGATATTTGACCTTTGTTACACCTGTTCCGTCTTAACGAGGTCAGACCGGATGTAAGTGTATCATCCTGAAGGGGTCAAGGTATCGTGTCTATACCGGATATTGTTTACCGTATGACACCTGTGAGACACCTGTGAGACACCTGTGTACGAGCTGTTGCCCATATAAGTCTTCCGTGATGACAAAAACCTTCCAAATGTACGTGATACAGGGCTGCGAACACACACACACACACACACACACACACACACACACACTCAAGACCAGGAAATACTCGCCCTATTAACACACCTCCGGCTCTACATTTTAAAATATTCGTAACATGAACATTTCTCTTAACTAATGACTTAAGCGTATACCTAACCTAAGGGTCAGGGTTAGGTTAGGTTAGGTCAGGAATGCGCTTACGTTATGTTGGGATGGGTTAGGTTAGGATTAGGTAGACTTAGATTAGGTTTAGATTACGTAAGGCTAGCTAAGTCTAATTCAGATTAGGTTAGGTTAGATTAGGTTAGGCTAGATTAGGTTAGGTTAGATTAGGTTAGGTTAGATTAGGTTAGGTTAGATTAGGTTAGGTTAGATTAGGTTAGGTTAAGTTAATGTTTGGAATTTTGAATTTTACTATAAATATCCCACATTACCATAAAATCTAACCTCACCAGAAAGTTCAACATTATCACCGCAAAGTTCTAAATTAACAACAGAATGGTATAACCTGATTAACCAGATAAGAAGAATCAGACAGACAGACAGACAATTGACTTCCCTGACATCATGAATATAAACAAAGGTGGACAAATGTGTAGTGGTGATGACAGACTGACAGACACTTGACTTCCCTGACATCATGAATATAAACAAAGGTGGACAAAGGTGTAGTGGTGATGACAGACTGACAGGTGAGTTATCAGTGACTCAAGATTAGGTGTAACCCTCTTATTACTCTGCTATCAGGGGGCTGTGGCTACCTCTTTTCTCTTCTTCTCCTTCCTCCTGTGCCTTCCCTCTCTCCCTCTCACCCTCTCCCCTTTCTCTCCTACTCCTCTCTTACTCTAATCCTGTCTTCCCCATCCTTTCCCCTTTTCGTATCCTCTGCCGTTTCCCTTTTGTTTTTTCTCTCTTCTTCCCTTCACATCTACCCTACCCTCCCCCTTCTATCCTCTTCTCTTCCCCCTTCCCTGCTTTACTTCCCCTCTTTCTCACTTCCCCCACTGTATAAGGAGTTAATTATTTATGCTTGAGAGAGAGAGAGAGAGAGAGAGAGAGAGAGAGAGAGAGAGAGAGAGAGAGGGGGGGTTAATGCACTACCAGCGCCATCAAGTGTCAGCGATAAACAGCTAATCATTAGGAAGTCACGTACAGTACATACAAACACACAGACAGCCATCCACCTTCCCTCTTCCTCTAATGTTTCAACTAACAGCGCCAATACGAGCACTATCCATCGCCAAGCTTTCCTTCCAACCCTAAAAATACAAGCGCTATAGTAGATGAAGCCAACGCCAGACGAATGAACGCCCACTATCGTTTTAAGATATTGGAAGAATATTTATTTGTCTCAAGCGTGTTCTTCTAACCTAAATCTTTATCATACTTTCTTGTTTTTAATTTTGTTTAACTTTTTATGGATATTATTGCTCCAATCAACCCATTGTTTACCATTGTTTGTATACCTGTACTACCCATGTACATTGTTTGTATATGTGTACTCTCTATGTAGTGTATATTGTATACCTGCATTGTCTTAACAGTATACAAGCAGATTCGATATAAATTTCTATGACGATTTCACTGAGTATGTATGTATGTATGTATGTATGTATGTATGTATGTATGTATGTATGTATGTATGTATGTATGTATGTAATAATATATGAAAAGAGAATACATAAAACTATTACAAAAATTCAAATCTAAAGAAAATATCTCAAGAAGTACAATTTCAGGTAAAACGTGCGGAGCTTGAGGCGTTTTATCGTGTCCTTCAACTGTGCATTCGTTCATTATTAAGACGCAGAACTGAATACCTGAGCAAGCCATTACCTACCTGGAGTACCTGAGTAGTACCTGACTTTACTAGTACCTGCCTGAATTGTACCTGTTTTAGTGTCACCTGTCAGAGTACATTATGACGAAGATCTCCATTATGTAGCCAAACACCTAAACCCTATACAAGGAATTTACTCGACAAGGCTAAGTCAAGTGAGATTCATGGTGGATAAGTATGGTGATGTAAGTCAATGAGGTTAATATTTGGTTCAAGCACGCACATACACACACAAAGTCAGTGACGTTCACCTCATGGTCGTCTGGTTGATCTTACCACCAATATCTTACTTTATATCAACAAACAGTTAATGTGGAATTGTATTACCCTTTTTTTCTTACTTAAAATGTCGTAAATCAATAATGTTCAGGTACAAATAGAGAGCGGTGAAAATTACCGGCGTTAGGTTATCATGGCAAGGGAAGTAAGAGGGCGGGAATAAACGGCCCCACCTTTAGACTGGACTCTGGGCTCAACCGACCAGGACACACGTGACGCAACACAAGCCAGCGCGCGCTCTTCTCCGTATCTATCTCTGACTGGCCTTATCTTCACCACTATGCCCTTATATACTCGTCCTAGTGACACTATATTTCTTAGTTCGTCGCAGCCACCGCAGCTCCTCTTACTAGTAATAGTCAACTGTCGACAGCAACGATTCACCTATTCAGCGACTGAGACACATCATAAATATTACAGTCTAAGAACACTGCAGTGATTGTATTATATCCTTCCATAACAACTAGTGAAAAAGAGATCAATTAAGAGTGAGTGAAAATAATTGAAAATAAAGAGAAAACTTAGAAGACTATTGTAGTGGTATAAGAGAAGGATACTCGCCACCATGAAGGCATTAGCCTACACCACGTCAAGTTTCCTGAGTCCCCCCAGTGATGAGCAGGAGGGCGCGACCAACTCCGTTTTCCCTGAACCTAATCAACTGATGGTAAGTATAACAGAAAATGTCCCTTACATCTATAACTCTGCCAGATGTAAACTGTTCGGTTGTAACAGCAAGGCTAAATCATTTAAACATGTATTTGTTCTTAAAACTTGAAAGTATTAGATATCTTGATGGGATCATTTCGTCCCGATTTCCAAAACAATGGGTAAGAGTGTTGTTGCAGTGTGTGTGTGTGTGTGTGTGTGTGTGTGTGTGTGTGAAGTACTCCCATATTTGGTAATACTGAAAACCACATGCACTGTTTTAAGGTTTATTACTCACTTTACTCCCTCATATACTGTATAATTCTCAATCATTAGACAGAAACTAGATCAAATTAGCCAAAATGTATCTGAGCTCCCTTAAGACTTACAGGCGAATTATCATTACAGTGGGTGTTGGTATATTACTGCACCTCAACAACAAAGGCCGTAGGAACAAAAAACTAGACAAAGAATCAACTGCTGAGATACATGTCTCAGGTAACAAGTAAACAGCAGAGGATGGCTATTATAGGCGGTTTTAACACTATGCTATTAACACACTATACATTTGTGAATGATGACACCAGCAAACTAACCTAAGTAACTGTCCCTAGCTAACTTATCCTAATTAAACTACCCTAACCTACCCTAACTAAACTAACCTAACCTAACTTAACCTAACCTAACCTAACTAGCCTACCCTAAATAACCCCACCTAACCTAACTAACTTACCCTAAACTAACCTAATCTAACCGAACTAACCTACTCTAACCTAACCTAATCTAACTTAAAAGTCAGCATAAGACTTTAAATTATGGTGGGGGAAATATATCTTTATTTCTTGACAAAGCTGAAGAAGAGAAGAATTGACGTGGTAGATGATATTTGGCTACACCATACAGGTATAACCACATCATAGCTCACATCATCAGGTCACATCACGGTAACACCACAGGTCACACCACGGTAACACCACAGGTCACACAAAACAACTTCTCACCTGCGTGCTTTACTGGAGCTGGTGGTTCAGTGCCTTGGTGAGCTGACCTTCGAGGAATGACTGAACCAGTACTGGACAAGTAGATATCGTGTTGATTGACCTGTCTTGTATAAAAGTAACCGACGTCACTTCTACGACCCGTAACCCTTCCTCCTAATTCCAACAAGATACACCTCCTTAAGATAACTTTTCTGACGTAATCTGTTGTAACTCACCGGCTGACACATATACGTGTCGGATGTTATCAGTGAACATAAACGATGTTAACTTCATTTTGGTAATCTTACGAGATAAACTATTATCCATATTACATTTATCATTATTAATAATGTTTTCATTGTACCCCTACTCTCTCTCTCTCTCTCTCTCTTTATATATATATATATATATCATAAATGGTCAGTACAGTGAAATAACTACAACAACACTGCAACACTTCACACTCGTGGCATCACACAGGCTGACAACACAACAGATGGGCGTCTTCAGCCACTCTGTACCCACCACACAGCTGGGAGAGCTGGAGGCCACTACAGAGTGCTGACGATGCCATTCAGAACAGCTGGAGGTCAAATGGGCTCCAATTATAATAGTCCACATCCTAATGTAACCAAACCAATCCTACGAATCCACAACTTAACCTAACCTTACCATAAGAATCAGGGCCTACCATGTTTAGGACCCATTAGTATTGGAGACCATCACGACCAGACCTCATAAGGACTGTGAGACGTTAGGAACGGGCCCTGGTTATAATGGTTTAGGAGAGTTTGGGGGTCATAGAGGACAGGGCCTCTCAGGATTGGGGGCACCATTTAGCCAATCACCATTTAAGACCCTTACGTTCAACCAATCATTAAGAGGATACACGTTTCTCCTTAAATGTCTGTCTCCATTATTACTCTGGTGTTATCAAGAGAATAAAATAGACAAAGAAATCAATACTCCTCTTCCTCTTCCTCCTGGTTAATTAGGACACAGATGCACCCTCCACCTCCTCTTCCTCCTCCTACTCTCCTTCCTCTCCTTCCTCTCCCAAGGCATTTCAACAAGAGTGAATCAGAACACGTCACACTAAAACACAGTTGATTGTGGCAAATTAACCTCTTCCAACCCTTCAGTGTCCTAACTTATCCTAACCTAACCTAACCTAACCTAACGTAACCTCGACCCACCGAGCCTTCTGCTCTTTACTACACAAATGACATCTTATGGAGCCGGGGATCTGGAGCTGGAGAGACGTGGTGTGACAGGACGCAGACAGTGAGACATGATAGGACGCAGACAGAGAGACATATATGGTGTGATAGGACGCAGACAGTGAGATAATATATGGTGTGATTGGACGCAGACAGTGAGACATATATGGTGTGGCAGTACGCAATGAGACATACATGGTGTGACAGGAAGCAAACAGTGAGTCATACATGGTGTGACAGGACGCAGACTGTGAGACATACTGTATATAGTGTGTCAGTATGCAGTGAGAAATACATGGTGTGACAGGACGCAAACAGTGAGGCATACATGGTGTGACAGAACATACAGTAAAATCAGGTTATTAGACACACACACACACTCGTTAATTTAATTGAAATCTAAGAAATTAATCCGGGAAAATGTCATCAGCGGCTCTCATGCCCCCCCATGACCGCCCTCTGTGTACACGCCTCTGTACCTGACCACGCCCTCTGTGTACACGCCTCTGTACCTGACCACGCCCTCTGTGTACACGCCTCTGTACCTGATCACGCCCTCTGTGTACACGCCTCTGTACCTGACCATGCCCTCTGTGTACACACCCTCAACCCTATCACCCACGTCAACCCTCCCTCCCCCTCAACCCTCTCTAACACCTCAACCCTCTCCACCCCACCTCACCCCTCTCAACCCTCTCTCCCCTCAACCTCTCTCCCACCTCAACCTCTCCCCCCCTCAACCCTCCCACCCCCAACCCTCCTCAACCCTCTCTCCCCACCTCCCCCTCTCTCTCCCCTCTCACCCCCTCAACCCTCTCACCCTCCCACCCCCTCTCCCCCTCCTCCCTCCCCCAACCCTCTCACCCTCACCCTCTCACCCCTCCCTCCCTCAGCCTCTCCTCACCCCTCCTGACCCCCTCAACCCCTCTCACCCCCCTCAACCCTCTGACCCCCTCAACCCTCCCTCCACCTCAACCTTCTCATCCCCTCAGCCCTCTCACCCCCTCAACCCCCTCACCCCCTCAACCTCCTCCCCCTCAACCCTCTCATCCCCCTGAACCTCTGACCCCCTCAACCCTCTCCCACCCACTCAACCATCTGCCCCCTCAACCCCTCCCTCCCCCTCCCTCCCCTCAACCCTCTGACCCCCCTCAACCCCTCTGACCCCCCTCAACCCTCTGCCCCTCAACCCTCTCCCCCTCAACCCCTCTCACCCACAACCTCTCCCCCCAACCTCCTCAACCCTCTGACCCCCCTCAACCCCCCCCCCTCAACCTCTCACCCCTCACCCCTCTCTCTCCCATCTCAACCTCCCCCCCCCCTCACCTCTCACCCCCCCCCCCCTCTCCCCCCCCCCCTCAACCCCTCTCTCCTCTCCCCTCAACCCTCTCCCTCAACCTCCCCTCAACCATCCCTCAACCCTCTCACCCCTCAACCTTCTGCCCCTCAACCCTCTCTCCCACCCTCAACCCCTCTCTCTCAACTGTCTCCCCCTCAACCCTCCCCCCTCAACCCTCTCACCCCTCAACCCTCCCACCCCTCAGCCTCTCACCCCTCAACCCCTCTCTCCCACCTCAACTGTCTCTCCCCTCAACCCTCTCTCCCACCTCACCTTCAACCCTCTCACCCCCTCAACCCCCTCCCACCCCTCAACCCTCTCTCCCCCCTCCCTCCCCCTCAACCCTCTCTCCCACCTCTCTCAACCCTCTCTCCCACCTCAACCATCCCACCTTCTCCAACCGTCTCACCCCCCTCAACCCTCCCCTCAACCTCCCACCCACCTCAGCCTCTCCACCCCCTCAACCCTTTCCACCCCTTAACCCCTCCCCCCTCAACACCTCTCACCCCCTCCAACCCTCCCACCCCTCCTTTTCACACCCCTCAACCTCCCACCCCTCAACCCCTCACCCCCAGCCCTCTCACCCCCTCAACCCCTCTGACCCCCCTCAACCCTCCCTCCCCTCAACCCTCTCACCCCTCAACCTTCTCACCCCTCAGCCCTCTCACCCCTCACTCCCCTCAACCCTCTCCCCCTCACCCCTCACCCCTCACCTCCCACCCCTCAACCCCTCTCACCCCTTAACCTCCCCACCCCTCAACCCTCCCACCCCCCTCAACCCTCTCCTCCTCAACCCCTCACCCCTCAACCCTCCCAACCCCCTCACCCCTCAACCCCCCCCCCCTCAACCATCCCACCCCCTCAACCCCTCTCCACCCCCCCTCACCCCCTCAACCCCTCCCTCTCCCACCTCCTCTCCTCCCACCTCAACCTTCTCTCCCCCCAACCTCCCACCTTCTCAACCTCTCCCCCCCTCAACCCTCTCCCTCAACCCTCTCTCCCACCTCAACCTTCTCTCCCACCTCAACCCTCCCACCTTCTCAACCCCTCTCACCCCCTCACCTCCCCCTCAACCCCTTTCACCCCTCAACCCTCCCTCCCCTGAACCCTCCCCACCCCCTCAACCCTCTCACCCCCTCAACTCTCTCACCCCTCAACCCTCCTCCCCCTCAACCCTCTCATCCCCCTCAGCCCTCCTTCCCCTCAACCCTCCCCCCCCTCAACCTTCTCCCCCCTCTCCCTCACCCTCTCACCCCTCAACCCTCCCTCTCCCCTCAACCTTCCCACCCCCCCCCTTTAAGACTTCTCATCCTCCCTTTCCCTCTCATCCTTCCTCTCCCTCTAATCCTCCATCTCCCTCTCATCCTCCCTTTCCCTCTCATCCTCACTCTTACATTCATCTTCTCTCTCGCCTTCACTCTCATCCTCTTACCTTCACCCACTCTGTTGAATCACCGACTTTATTAACAAGACAATAATG